GGTTTGTACTTTCCCACATTTGGTTGTTGCTATTAGTGATCGGCCAACGGATCTGAAGTATTTTGCGTAGACAACTTTTAATAAACACCTGTATTTTCTGGATGATGGCTTTCGTAGTTCTCCATGTTTCCGCCCCACACAGTAGAACTATCTTGACATTTGTATTGAAAATCCTGACCTTCGTGTTGGTTTGCAGTTGTTTTGAGCTCCGCCTGGAGTCTTTCCAGGGGCTAATGCCGGTCCCAAGCCCGAGTAAAGGAGAAGGGTTGGGCATGGGGTTAGCGACTCCATCCCGTAGAAAACTAACTCGCTAAAAAACCTTAACCAGAAAAAATTATTCAAACCTTTTTCAAATTACAGATTTCAAAAAAACGAGAAATTTTATAATCAATCGGTCGCGTAAACTAGTATAAGAATGGATTTCATGAATTCACTGTAATTAGCCTAGACAAGAATATACCGTTAATTAAATAGTTATTCTGCTACATAATATCATTTAGCTTTAGCAAAGAAAACTGATCTTCAATATACACACAGGTGAAATTATTTGTATAAAAGCAAACTTTTACTACCTAAGTCTACTCAGTATTATCATTAATTCACAGAAATCAAATGAGATGAAACTATTGAAGATTTTCTATACTAAGGTTAGCAGACATATTTGTTATAGTTTTACGTGTTATCCACATGTATCTATGCGCGATTTCACATTAATTTACTCGATTGTATCAATTGTAAAACGAACACTAAATTTTTCTTTAGCCAAATGGTTTACAAAAGGGCAGCTTAATGTATCCAATAGGTATCTGAACATGATAAACGTTTCAATTTTTCATATTTTGGGTGACAATAACATTAGAGGTTGAGGCATAATAATGAATAATTACATTAGGCTACTATTGAATTATAATTCAGTTAACTTTTGATGAAGTAGTTATGGCTATTTTTCCTAATAATCTATGATTTATCGAATGCTAGTCTATTATAAGAACAATGATCACTGGTTAGAGAATAAATTGATTCAATAAGTAAGATAAAGATTAAACGTATAAAAACTACACTCTTTTATGCTTTGAAGTTAGATTATAGCAACTCACGTGCAATTGAGTTTGTTCTCATTTAACTCAGTTTAGCCCTTTTGTTAACTTATTTAGCGGACAAAGTCGTCCGTACTATAACAACTTATTGTAACTTTATTATTGTTGTGCTTGAATGAAAAATATGTATGCTTAAACATTGCTTACGCACATACTCATTCTACTAGCTTTATTATTAACTGCTTAATCGATTCGATGACCCATTCATTTCCCTATATATATATACACGTACATTTAACACTCTACACTCTCGGTTCGCTGACTCACTCATTCGCCTCATTGCTTTGTGGTAAGAGTTATCTGCTAATAAAACTGAAGTCTCTGCTTCTCTCTTTGCCTTCTGATTTCAAAAACCGTTGAGAAGTATATGGTAACGGTTACGAGGGTGATTGATCAACGAAGCACAGTCACTACAAGATAATCGAGAGAAATATTGTTTATGACATTAAGTTACAACATAATATTGCCACTTATTCATTTAGTTAATTATAGCAAACAACACAGATAAGTAAAAATTAGTCAAACACTAAAATTGATAAAAAGAAGCATTCAGTTTAGTTTCTATTCATATCTATGATTCATTCGTTTCATATTTCTTAGCAGAACAAATCATGGAACTATTTAATGATTTAAATCAAACACTCGATAATTCTTGTTTCTACATATTTTGATAAACATTAATTCAAAAGTTGTTATTTGACCAGACAACAACAAGATTAATCTGTTTATTTAATAATCAGTAGATAGATAAATTTATGTCTAGAATAATAAAATCTTATTGGACAACATTTAATGGTGCTTTTGTTTGTGTAAAGATTTTGCTACTTAATATAAATAAGTAGCACACTCTATATTCATCCATATAAAGTTAGATATAGATGTTACAATCCCCCCTCCCTCATACAAAAGGGATTGATTCTATGAATTCAACTACATATTATTGATTAATGTTAATGAAACCTTATTTATTGGATCTGACATTTTATTTTATAGTTTTAGTAAAAGGCGTCCATGTAACAAATCTACAATACAATTTATATGGAAATGTCATGTATAGAAATCTCGGTTTTAAAGAAAAAAGGAAATATAGAAAAACAATTTACTTTTGTAACAATAGAGGATCCTTCTAAAAATCTAGAATGAAGTTATTTTGAAAAGAAAAAAAAAGTAATAAAACAATGCTGAATACAAGTAGATTATTGAAGGTAAATGATTAAGTCAATAAACAATTGTTTTATACTTTTATTAATATGATAGTTTGTTTGAATTATAACTAGTTATCAATTCCTTGAATTTAAAGTATTCATAGTGAAATTCAATAAAACATAATTCAATGGAAAAATGACATTAAACTGTAGAAAAGATATACAACTCTTCTACATGTGTATGTCATTTCAGACAAGCATTAGTCGAAGAATCATTGAAGATGTAGGCCGAGTGTATTGTTGTTTCGTCTCAACTTAGAACTCGTTAGAAGTGTATACCAAATAAAATACACCGAACTGAAAAGTAGGGTATTTCGATATCTCAGTGAGAATTATATCTTTAGTCTTCTGAATTATAGTCCTGTACAGTTTATCTAAGAGCACAATAGAAGGTGTGGACAACTAGGTAATTCATAATGAATTACAGTAACATTGTACATGCACCAATCCAATTTAAATCTTTTAGTGAAAATGAATTTAGTATATGTCATAAAGGAATATAGAACCAACCATATTCGCTGCTTTACATTTATTTAAAATTGTATTTCAATTTCATGATAAAAGTGTATCAAAATTATGGACTTTATGTAGTGTTTGAATGAACTAATGATACCACTGTACTTGTTGAATGCTTGATCTCGAATTCTAAGTACAATACATTCGTTCGTGCTTGTCTAGTACTTCTTGATTCCATTGCTTTATTTCTGGGACTCTTAGTTCCTACTACAATTCAAATAATTCGAAACATTATACTTTAGTCCATGCTTCAGTTTTTTGTAGATTTATTGTACTGGTTACTCATTTAGGTAATTAAATATTTAACATTAGAATATTAAACAGACCTAGTTGTTATCATGACGAATAGCGTCCTTATGTAGAAATAGTTTTTAAAGATTTTACTGCTAAAAAATGTATAGTGAAATATTTAGGGAATTTAAGTAACTGAATTTGCTGAAATAATTTTTTATAACTCTGTAAGACTGATCAGTGATGTTGAGGTTTCTCATGACAAACTGACTTCACTTAGAAAACTTTAGAAAGCCCTAAATAGCTATCCCATCCTAATATGAGACTCTTCATCCGCATTCATCTATGAACTTTATGATGTTGTGCGACCATCATCATTTAATATTAGTGTTATATAACTCATGTCTGATAGAGTTAATTAATGTTGTATCATTTTTATCATAAGAAATTAGTATTGATATATGAAACAATTATTTATAATCATTTCATAGCTAAATATTTTACACAGAAGTGAAAAGTTTTAATTTGTGCTTAAGAAAGGCAAAACATGTACTAATTTAAGTTTGCTATTGACCTTGTTTCTAATCAGGTCATTCCCTATTTTCATTTTAGGATACATGCAAAAAAATATAAACACAACAGAAATATGGATATTGTGTATTTCTTGGATAATTACAACCAATTAATCAAGTGTAACCTTAATCTTTATATATATATATATATATATATATATATATATATATATATATTTCTAGATAATCTGATTATGGGTATTAATACCAATATTAGAAAAACGTTTATTTCTGATGTTTCGTGACTTAATGTAAGCCATTTCTTCAGAGTAAATAAATAACCAACATTAAATTAGCAAAAGTTTAAATAGTACAAAGTAAACAATGTAAAATATTTTTCAGAACAATCAAAGTCATAATAGGTCTGAATATGTCAATGTCAAGTTATTCTTGGTCAAACTGAATCTATATGACCTGTTACATTATTAATTTATGTGTTAGAATGTAGGTATGAAAAATGTATGGATTTGTGATGTGAAGTAGAAGGTTGATATATTTTGCACTATTTCCTTCATACTAACGAAAAGTGTGTTAGTTTAATTTCAGCTATTTATTTACTCTGAGGAAGCGGCTTACATTAAGTCACAAAACGTCAGCAATATAATTTTTCTACTCACTGAGATATAACAAATATATATTTATTATTATTATATTTTCAGTAGTACAGATGTTGTTAAGCTCTTTGTTAGTTATTCAAATTACAGTTCATAATTGTTAATTTTTAAGTCCCATTCCACATGTGGTTGTGAATGAGCACTGCCGAAAAGTTTCATATGAAGATGAAAACAACTGTTCAGAACTCTTTGCATGTTACAGTTTATTCCCATGCAAGTCAGTACAGAAATATGAAAATTCAGATATTTAGCAGTAGTTGAATTTCCATTACTACTTTTTTTTAATCGTGATCACTTTGAAAGTTTTATTATCTCTTGTAATTCTTACACCGAATTGAAGATATTTTCAGTCAGTGAACAAAATCTTATGTAAAACTTTTTTAATGTCCATTGTCAGGCAAGTTCTATAGTGTACATTAAAAAAGGGATGAAAGTGATCAATATGGCGGCTTATATAAATGGTCACCCTTATTCTATTCATAAGTTATATACTTTATACAGAAATCCATACCTGTGTGCATATTTGTGTAGCTTTTCAATACATACATATTCAATCACTGACATCACCATTATTCACTAATTTTACAATAATTTTGCGTGCAAAGATATACACACACACATTCTACAATTTATTTAATATCATATCTAGATTTTTTCATCAGACCACATAACATATAAGGCAAACAGACAGCAACAGTAAAGCTTATTCTATATTGATGCCAGACAATTAGCCAACTAAAATCTCTGGGAAAATAAGTCTGCCTGATTCATTTAAAAATCACCAACACACACATAGATATATCTACATAGGTGTTGTAATGTATGCCTTTATCCAAATACTTTGGCGCAGCCTACGCAATAATAATTCCTTTTATAAAGCACAATGCATATGGAAAATATTTCCATATAGGAAGACGTGATATCCTAGTAACTGTTATATATATTTTTAAAGAATATTTGTAATTATTACAACTGATCGTAGTACTAACGTGAGTTCACTTGGTGAAAAAAAAAATCAAAATATTTGTGTATTCTGATTCTTCATTTGAATAATAGACAAATCTCAATATTAAAAGTAAGTCTGTTTCATGGTTTTAATTTTGTTAAATCCCTTTATATTCACTGAATAAACTCTGACTAATGTCAATTTTTGAATATACATTATTTTTGTTTATTTAATCTGAATATAAAGTAGACGTGGTAAATTAAATTCGAATGAGTATGAAACAATAACATCAATTACATTTGATAATTTCACTTTATTGATAATAAGCTGAAGGTGAAAATTTTACAAATTCGATTTCTGCTATATGGTGGAAAAATTATTTTGATCTCTATAGAATCTATTGATATTGGATTCATTTGAATCCTCAGTATACACTGAAGAGTAGGTCAGAACTAGGATGAAACGTTCATACAATACTTCGTGGGTTTTGTGTTCTAGATGATAAGTTTAAAGCTTTCCATGATTGATAATACGTTTAGTTTTATTTTCTCTCACTAACTTTTATTATCAACAAGAATTACATTTCAGTAGTAAGTATTCAACTAGGAGCTTGTCAGAAACAACATGGTTATTTCTGTCATTACTTCATTGCTGGCTTCAAATAAAAGAATTCGTTGCAATATATATATATATATATATATATATATATATATATATATAATGTTGTATTAACCTGATCCGAGAACTACAAAAACCCAGATTTCTTGAATTCATTTACTGTCTTAGAATATAGAGATTCGAATAAATACGACTTCAGCTAATTAGAGATATGCTAGTTGATTTAATTTCACTTGGAATAGATCGTAATATCTGGTGTATTTGACTTTTTTTTAATATTTAGTTCATCTATATCTAAAGTGTGCAAAAACAAAACATCTATCATTGGCAGAAACTGTTTCATTTAGTTTAAAGCTAATGTTATAAGTTGTATGAGAATAATCAAACTAATTGTTTATTGCAAAGCAAAATAATAAAGAGTCTTACTGATGAATGATTAATTGTAAACGATGTCATGTCAATAGATATTTAGTGTTGAGTATATCTTATAGATCATGATGAAATGTGGTCATTAGATTACATAACTTAAATTTGATATTTTTGGTCGATTTTCAACAATCACTTTGTATCAGAAACCTATTGTGTCATTCAGTTTTCAAATATTTCAGCACTGGAATATTTAATCAATAATCATTGAATTTAGTTATAGTTTGTATAAACTATAAAGATTTCACGAACTATCTAAATTACTGTCATATTCATTCTTGTTTATTGCACAAATGCATATTAGTTGCACACGTATATACATGCCCATACAAAAACATATATATGTGCGTTTATAAATAAATACCTATTAGGTAAGTGAAAGCAATTAATAGGAAGAGCTAAACATCGGTTTCATGTTGGTACTTATCAGCAGGGTATCTCTAAAATCTTTAGGAAACTAATGTTCCTCACTTGTTTCAAACATGATTTACAAAAGAAACAAATACAATTAGGTACAGTATCGAGTTACATAGATTAGTGATTTAATCCGAATTTCATAAATACTATTAAACTATCATTAAGGTCTAGACAATGGTACAAGGTAGATTACTCATTTATTCAATGATCATATCAATAAGTGTGCTTTACTAAAAGGTTTGGATTAACAACTAAACGATATGTCATAATATGATATTGATTTATTTGGGTCAGAACTTACATTTATACAAGTTAATTGAAAAACTAAAAGATGATTTTTGATTAAATTTTCAGAATTAATTTATAACATTCAGATTAAAAATAAGACCTATTCAGAAAGGTTTGTCATTTCTGGTTTGGTTCAAGTTTTTAGTATCAAGAACGATTTTAAATCATATTTCTTTCAAGATAATGTAGATTATTGTAAAATACTTAGTTCATTAGAAACATTATTTGAACTTACGTTAAACAATCTTGATTAAACTTTTTATTATTTGATTCAAAAAAACTGATCTACCGTAATAAGATCAGAAATTGAATAATAAATATAAAGCGCCAAATGTTTATTTTTAAATCAAAGTTTGTTTACACTTTATTAGTTCAAACTAAATCAAAATTCACTTAAACACATGCTGGGTCAATAAAGTAGAAATTTCCTTGTTAAACAATTTCTATATTGTGTCCATCTTCATCTGTGTTTTGTATGTTTGAAATAATACTATTTTTTTTCTTAAAAAAAACCCTCAAAGTTATGTAACAGAAATCGATAATCGATCAGTATAAAAGTCTGAATGTTCATACTGAATGTGTAAATGTGCACAGATAAAAAAAAACAAAAGAATATAAGCCCCAAAACAAAAGGGTTACATAACTGCATATTAGTGATCTATATACATATTTTGTTTCAGTTTTAAAAGTTTTTAAACGGAAATTTCAATCAATAAATACTCGAAATACAAAAGTAAGATGCCAAGAAACCTACATAGTGATTATGTTAGGCAAAATATTTCATTTGTTTATAATATATATTTTGTTCAGAATAGGACGAGAATGGAATGCATGTAAATATAATTGTTTTTATGTAATATACAAGAAGTCAAATCACTGAAAAATTAATTGTTTACGTTAATCTAAGCTTCTAGGTTAAGTTGTTTATTCTACTTCAAGCGATCTAGTAAAACACGAATACGTAACAGCTGTTAAAATGAATTAGATATTTGTTTATCATATGGAATTAAGAAGTACTTCGTAGTAAAACAACTATATCAACAAAATTCTCTCATTAGTTGTGATCGAATAATATTGAGAGTGATTGTCACTAAGTATTGAATTTCTATCAACATTTGAATATTATAGGTAGTTAGAAGGAATGTCTACAAGTATAAGGGTGATTAGCATGGATATTGAATGAAAAATCAAAATTGTCCTCTAGACTCGATCAGCAAAACTTTTGATCTAAAGTTCAAACCGATCATAAAGTTTGAGATACCCAAGTTGTTGATTGATTTACCTGGCCATTAACAGAGTTTATTTATTTCCTTTATCTGTATTTTTGATTCCTTTATACATTGTTTCATTGAATTTAATTGGTAGGTAAGCTCGTATGTGAACAAGTAAAAAAGGAGAATTCATGTATTCGTAACAATATCTAACTACTGTTTATAAAAGCAAAGTATTTTCTTCAGAAAAACAGATTTGCTTTTTGTATGATCTTTTTATATACCACGGCTTTACATCAATTCATAACTATTATGTGATGAATATGTCGCTCAATTATGTGTTTTAGTTGAAGTTAGACATTAACACCGTCGGATGCCGGCCCAGTGGTCTAGAGAATAAGCGCGCACGCGCGAGACTGATAAGACCTGAGTTCGAATCTCGCGAGGCGTGATCGTGGATGCGTACTGCTGAGGGGTTCCACAATAGAAGGAAACGGCCGTCCAGTGCCTCTAGATTTTCCATGGTAGTCTAGCTTCAATTGACTCATGATCTCAACTATTGAAATTAATATAAAATCCATGAAACCCCTTCTGATATTAAAAATATTTATCAAATCTATATTACCTTAACCAAAATTAGGATAAGTAATCAAAAAACATCACAAGTATGAACATAATAGGTTTTGCTAGTATTCATTGTTAAAATCTTGACAGAATTTGACTAAAATGCAAAATACATCTGGGTAATGTTTTCTTGAACCTAACTGAAAATTAGTTGTAGACATAAGTGTAACTATTTGGTGTATGAAAGTAAATTAATGTTGTGAAAACATTTTAACTTCTATTTTGCTTTTTGGTTTATTTAATAATTGAGATTTGAGTGATGGTTAGATGTACAGACGTCGAGGTTTATTTTTGTACTTTATTCTCAATTGCTTAATAAGTTCCCGGTAATTCATCCATTAGTATAATAGTTGACGGATTCCAATAAACGCTGCACTATATCTTGGCTTGACCAAACTTTAGAAATGTAAATCTTCGTGTTGAAAAATCAATTTTTCAAGGATAAGACTCCTGCCTGCAATACCTGAAAGATTTTTTGTCGAATTCTCTGTTGTGTTGTTGGCAAGACTATCAAACAGTACTACTGGGCTGTTGATGATTCCTCAAATGATACAAATTTGAGAAAAAAAATATCACCGATATTTGTATTTTAATATATTAACCATTCCCATTGAAACTTTGAATTATAAGCAAATATAGATAGTGCTTAGCAGTGAAATCCAGGGCGCACTTTCGTCCTATTTGACACTGGTCAGCTGGGTCTACCTTCATCCTAGAGTTCATATTTACTCCGGGACTCAATATCGAGGCAATCCGCCCAGCATACTTATGTACCAATAAGAGACTAATCAGTTCAAGTCCTAAACATCAATGGGAAGATTGATACACGCAGTAGAAAATGAAGACGAAGATTATCAGAACTGTGTGATATATTAATGCAATATATTCAAAAACAGTTTGTTCTCACATTAAACCTACCCTGGTAATTTTAGCTTATTATCTATAGCGATGAGGTTTCAAATTGTTTTCATATTATTTTCCTTATTTTCCTCTTTATAGTATAGTTGATCTTTCTATTTTTATATATAAATGTTCTGAACAATTATATATATGTGATTACATTGTTCGAAATGTATTGCGCTAATATATCATCATATAGTTCTAATAATCTTCATCTTCTTATTACACTATTTAAATTTATCAAAAGGGATTCATTGTTTCAAATACAATATGAATATAAATTATAAGTTGTATGTTTTTTTAAATAAAATGAATCTATACTAACTTAACTAGATGCATAGAATCATCGGTTAGTCGGTTAACTCAATTTCCATTTATTTACTAGTATGGTGGTTGTGGAGATTATTAAGTTTTTGATTGAGATCATGAACCGATCGATGTTAGACCATCACAATTGAAAACCTGGAAGCACTGGACGGCCGTTTCGTCCTATCGTGGGACTCCTCAGCGGTGTACACCCACGATCTCGCGAGCGAGATTCGAACCCAGGGCCTCCGGCCTCGCGCGCGAACGCTTAACCTACTGGCCCACTGAGCCGGCATCCAATGGTGATAGTTTCTAACATCAACCAATCCACGAAATTGC